AATTCTTGATAGCAGTTCATTACATTTTTTCCTACAGGCTCCTTACTTTCTTTTAGCAAGATTCATTACATACAGTACTTCTGTAATATGCTGGAAGAAAATAGGGCAAAAGTATTGCATTAAGATATTTCTCCTAGGGGCTGAAACATGGTTTACACAACACACACTTACTCAATTACCTGCCTAGTAAGACATAGTCCTAGAGGCGAAAAAATCTGGAAGATAGATATGTTTTCAGATTTGGGACTGCAACCACGTGCAAGTGAAAATGTACATGACACACTGGTAACCCACAGCAACCCAATTCTTCAAAGCAGCTGTTGATGTCAGAAAACCAGGGCACTAAAGTCTAATAAGTACAGCTCTGAAGACAAATGAAGCCACAGTTAGTAATGTCACTTACGTGTTACTGCAAATTATGTACTTTTTGTGAAGGCATAGTATCAAATATAGTACAAGGTAATGCAAGGGCTTCGGCATAGTATGTTCTAACTTCCCCAAGATTAACCAAAAGAAGTCAAAATAGTCTATTTGTTGATATTTGAAGCTTCAGTTTAATAAAACATGATTACACTATAAGTAAAATTAATTTCTGCCTTCTCTATCTTTAACCCCTTGAATATGTTATTCTACAAAATACATAATATTTTAGAAGGTATAAAATGGTTCCAAAAGGGTATTTCATTAAATTATGTGTCCTATAAAATGGATTTTTTATTTAACCTGACACAAGGCAAGAATTACATTTCATTAGAAATTTCTGGAATAGCTCTGATATAAAGCTTTTAAAGCTGGTGAGTACAAGACTTCCTCTAATTTAATATTTTTAGAAATTTTTTGAATGAGTCTGAGCGATAATGAAATGAAAAGCAGTTTTTTAAAATGACTTAAGTGATGCTAAGAAAAAGAGTCTTTCAACTTCACTTCTAATCATTTTCCAAATCTGGAAAGAATGTAAGTAGAAAAACTAAAGTTAGACACCATACCCAAAACAAAAAGTACAGTTGAACCAAGGCCTCTCGACAGTTTCTTTCAAAATCAGTATGACAAAACAGTTTATATAATTTGGGAAGTGTTGTTTGAGTTTTGTTCTTGATTTTGTTTTCTCCCAAAGATTACTTTGGACAGAAGTTACTTTAGGAGGAAAAGGGCCCAAGAGCAGCTAAAATAAATACTGAGGACTGTAAGGATGTTTGAATTACTTTGCTTTTTGAAAAAATGTTCTCATAAACTGAATTCTGAAGAGTTAAGAGATATATTCAATAAAGACTATCTATAATATTAACTTCTGTATGTGTGTGATACTGAGGATAAACCAAAGCCTTCTAACTGGGTTATTTCTCAGCACTTTTTCTTTTTTAAAAGTTTTTAATTTTGAGGCAGGGTCTTGCTAAATTGCCCAAGCGGGACTTGAATTTGCTATCCTCCTGCCTCAGTCTCCCAAGTGTTGGGAATATAGGTGTATGCCACCTCATTTTCTATTTTGTCTTATTGCTGTGAAATAATAAAATATTTTATACAATTACCTAGTTTAGTAACCTAATGCAATTACAATGTATAATCATAAAATATTAATAGTTTCTCTCTCAACTTTCATTTCTTTCTAGACCAGAAATTTGGTACTGTCAACAAAGACTTTAGTCATTAATATTCATGTAATAACTGTATGTGGTCAATTTAGAGGGAGCAAAGATATATATCCAAAATGTGAGAATAAACATTTTCGTTATTTGGAGTAGGTACAACTAAAACTCAATCTATAAAAACATGGACGTTGCATGAAATTTTCTTTGCACCTAAGACAAAAGATCACCTCTTGTGTATGTGTTTCGATCAATGACTCAGACACCTGATTTATAGGAGGCCGGAGTTAGAACGTGAAAGAGCTCCCAGGTATTTCTTAATTATAGGTATCTTAGCACTGTATAACCAAAGCCAAGACAAAAAAAAAAAAAAAAATTGAGGTAGCTGGAATGCCTATCTATCTCCTAGCACTCTGAACACGTCACAGATGAAGAGCACCGAATAGTGATTTCATTTAGACCTGAATGAACCAAGACCCAGATTATATGAGTCCCCAGGAAATGGTCAAAGAGAAGGTCACATGGAAGTGAGTCACAAAGACTACCAATTATGGCAAAATCTCTACAGCTGGGCTAAATCTTCTCTCGATGACAGATTTTTAAGGGGGCCTGGAATATACACATGGGGGAGTATATATCTTGAAAAAAAAAGTCATTCAGGTGATTCTGTGTCTCATCTCTCACCAACTACTTTAAAAATGGGGGAAAAATGTTCAGGGCTAAATAGAAAAAAAATGAAAGGTTTATATGTCAGTTTGAGTTTGTATATTCTGACTTCAGATTTAATCCAGTTAATTAGAGTAAAACTGTTCCAGAAAAGGACTCTAAATTAATTTTGCATATACTTATCTGTCATTTCTTACAAACTTCTAAATCTTTTTGCTTTCAATCACAAAAAAATCTAATATTGATCAAGAAATATGCTTCAACCCAATTCTATTCTATCCACTGAGAAATCCAGAGGCAACATGAAGTCTGAATATTTATTTTATTAAGCTAACACTGTATTCTTAGTGTCCTGTTCAGAATAACATCTATTTCTTAACTAATTAAGCTTTATTTAAAAGATACTTTCATTACCTAGATGTCAGAATTCCAGAGATTCCAGAATACAAAATTATATCTTGACACGTGAAAATATTTTTCCTGCTACTAATGAACAGAACGTAAGTACTAAGAAAAAGTGAAGACAGGTAAGAGTCAGGACTTCTATGGCTGTTTGAAATGCTAAGACTGGCCAGTTTGGTGATAAAAGAGAGGTATCTGCCCTACAAGCAATGTCCCTAAAATCTAAGTCTCTTTCCCAGAACATGAAGGAAAACTAAAGACACAAATGAGAAAGGAAACACATGACAAAGGAAAATGAAAAACTGTGCCACAGAAATGAGGCAGAAGCCAAGCAAGCAAATAGAAAAGGTCACGTTGGGAGCCCAGAAAATGTGAGAGTAACACAGAAACAGCCCTGTCACTTTGGGAGGGCAGGAGCCATTTGAATCTTCGTGGGTTCTGCTTCTGGTGAAGAGCTGTTAGGCAGCTCACTCCCCAAGGGAATCGGAGAAGAAAGATGATGACCATTTAGTTCTGCTTAGTGCAGTCTGTTGCACTAAAGAAACAGACAAGTCAGGGTCTATTAATTTCCAAATCAGCCATTGAGGTATGTATGATGGCAGCCACCAGCAGAAGAGGGCCACAAACCCCCTGTGACATGAGTTGAAGATCTCCTGGATAAGCTAATGAAAACTTAAGAGATGTACTGATATTGACAGCTCTATGTAAGTAAAAACAAAAGCAATTAAGCAAATATACCTGACTGGGAAGATGGCATTTATTCTGAGACACAGCCTATCTCCCATACAACAGATGAAAAAACCAAGACAAATCAAACTTCAGGACATGTGTGTGCCAAATCATGTGTCATCCTTCACTCAAAGAAGAACTTTTCCATTAAACAACAGTAGTTTTAAGCAAAATTAAAAATAGATGAGCACCTCTTCTGTGTGATGTTATTTTTCTACCCATCGAAAGAAACATTTGGTGATAGCCAAAAATGTAATTTTAGAGCTCTCAGGGGTGGCTTATGCAAGAATGTACCAACAAATGGTCAAAAACTATTTCTGACTTACAGAGGTTTTAGGAAACTCAATAAAAATTATTTCAGAACTACAAGCTTTCCTTTAGGTAGAAAGTGATTGCAGATAACTTACAAGTTACATTTATGGGATACAAAGTTAGTATCTAGGATTATTTTTCTCATTCCCAGAAGACCTACTTTCTGATCCAACTGAGGAATCATGGATTGTACTGAAAATACATCAGTAGTATTATCTAAAAGCTGCATGAAAGAGTTAGCCCGTACCTAATATTCTAAGGGAAGGGAAAAACTAATGAAACTGGAAGTTAAAAAAATTGAAGAAAAGCAAAATTCAGTGTGCCTGTTAATGGAGTTTATAATTAGTTTATAGAATTCTTTATTTTCTACCTGTATAAAGATTCAAGGAAGGATTATTTCCCCTTTTCTAATTTTCTTCACCCTAGCTAATAGCAAAGATAATTTAATGTGCATTTTTGTAAAGTCATTTTCTAAGACAGTGATAACCTGGGGTAAACAGCCTGGTCAGTGACATTACATCTGTGGTTGGAAAAGTACTCTACTCATTCAAAATCAACCCACACATCTGTGCAAGTGTGGATGTTTAGGCACTATAGGTCCACCCTGAAGGATCAGTCAGTCGCCCAGGGTTATACTCCTAAGAGGATCAAAAGTCAATTTCCTATCAATTTAGGTAATAATGATGATGGTCTATACTGTCTAAAAGCAATAAACAATTGGCCGATTTTATACTCTACCAGCTAAAGATATATAAACAGGATTATTCAGGGTTTTTTTTGTTTGTTTGTTTGTTTGTTTTGTTTTGTTTTGTTGTACCAGGGATCGAACTCGGGCCCTTGAGCTTGTGAGGCAGGCTGCGGAAGCACTGAGCCAAATCCCCAGCCCTAGAATTTTTTTTTTACAAGTTACACTGTTGTGATACATGCTACTGCAATACATTCTACATTTAAGGAGGCAGGTCTTCGTGTGTATTTCACCACTAGTCAGCGGTCCACTAATTGAAAGCCTGGTCTTCACAATAAGGTTTCTAGTAAAGGTGCATATGACTAAAGCAAATGCTGCGCTGCCACAGGAAGGAGAGTATGTCCAGAAGAAAGAACACATATATGTTAGGGAGTGAAATGTTTCATCATTTTTATTATCATAAGGTTAAGTATATACTTTGAAATCAAGTTTAAAAGATTAAATCAAAAAGATTAACTCTAAAAGCTAATTACTCATAAAAAGTTAATTACTCATTTATTAAAAATGGCACAAGAAAAGCAAGGCTCCAGAAACCAGTATGTTTCACGACTATGTCTTCTTACCATGTACGCTGTACAGGCGGACTTTATGGGCAACATGTTCAAAAAAGCAAGTCACTTCTGAATAAATCCTTCCATGTGTCACTCTGACAAGGGGCAGTGTTGTGTAAACATAAGGCTGTGGAGGGAAAGACATTTTAGCAAAAATATTTTAACTTCTAATCCTTTCTAAGGCATCTTTATTATAGGATCCCAAGCTGCAATATATATCATCTAATTTTTGCAACTTCAAATGAAAACTAAAGCTCACAACATGTCAGAATATGCACACAGTAAATGGTGAATATAACGTTTTTGTTATTAAAAACTGTCAATTGCTTACAATTTGATTGGCATAGATGATCAACAAATATTTCTCCCAGCTATAAAAAAATCTCTAAAACAAATCCTACTATACTGTACAAACACTTACAATACTCATTCTATAGCAGTAACCTTATGTCAGGCAAACGTTTTTTATAACCAAGGCCCCCTAATGTTCAGGGTTCAGGGTAGGTTGTAAGGATGGCAACAGGGAGTAATCTAGATAAACAAGCAGGATTCAGGAATAGTTTAATCAGTCCATTTTACTAAAGCATAAAACACTCTTTTTACATGAGATGATTCCCTGAATATAAAGCAAATTCAGACTTGGGAAAAAAACCTACTTGGAAACCTTAGGTTTAGTTTTCTTTTAGAATCTAAATCTGAGAAAATGTGGGAACGAAGCACAAAACTTATGTGATCTGAGAGTAAACTTAAAGCATTTATGAAGAACTTTATTTTCAGTATTAGATGCTTTAGCTCAATAACAGCATGAAAAGCTAGGCTTCCAACGTGAACTACTGAAGCGGCATCAGCTTGCAGAATTGTTTCATTTTATTCCAACCGCTTTGGAAAAATATTTTGAAATTAATAAAATGCATAATAGTCCATAGTGATAACTTTCTTGTACCTAAGTATCACATAGCCAGAAAGTGAGGAGTGAAGGATGATGGTTTCTGGGCTCCTACCACTTTCTGCCACTTCTTTCCCTGATTTATTTTATTTTCTCTTTTTGTAAATATTTGAGAATTTTGTTTGTCCTTCTTACATGACAGATATTTAAACATAAAATGACTTTAAATAATTTAATTACTATTATCATGCATAGTATTCCACAGTGTAACTATCCTTGTCAAAAAAATAATAAAGTAAAAAAAAAACAAACAACATCTGTCCAATGACACAAATTGGAAAGTAAGAAAACTTATTTATACCTAAAATCCAATGCCCATTCTGGAATGCCCACTGAGAACTGCAAATTTACTGCCTTTAATTCTTTGTGCTAGTCTTTTATGTGACGAACACAATACTAAATATCTAACACTTCGTTTTGATTATCAGACTCCCCTAAATTTTAGACTAAAATCACCTTCTCAGTTGAATTTCCCAGCAACAAAACATTAGTGAGAATATTCAGTTGATCTTGAAATAGAACTTATAAAGGTATAAAAACCACAAAGAAATTCTGAAGAAAAAAAAAGAATACAACTGACTACTTAATAACTGCAAAGTACTAGAAGAATAATGAACCAATTAAATGATACATTCAGGGACGATTTTTGCAACATATAGGGAAAAAGGTTTAATTTTACCCCATATCAAGACTACTAAAAGATCAACAGGACACACCAATAGAAAAATGGTCAAAACTGTAAACAGAAAACTCATAAAAATTTAGGAAAGATAAGTGAATGTATAAATGAAATTCAACTTCACTAGTCACAAAATCTAAACAGAAAATGTTTCAGTTTAGTTAGTTTTATAGGCAAAGCTTTTCATATAGTTCTCAGTTCTTGGAATGGTAGAGAGTTGTTCAAGAAAACACCAGTAAGAATATTTATACAGTCATTAGCTAAGGAGAAGACAGGCAGAGTGTATCAAAAAACCTTTATAGGCTTCATATACTGCAAAAAAATGTCTTCTAAACAGCTACTTGCAGGAAATAATCAGAATTACACAAAATGAATGTGACAAAGCTTATTGGAATGCCACAGCAGTGAAACATTGAAAGTACATAAGCAACATCAGAAAATTCCTAAACACAACCATGTATTTAATGTTAACATACCATCAGACGTGACCACTGTTAAAAATGAAAAATACATAAGTGCAGTAAGAAAGAACTGAGAATTGGGCCAGGGATTTAGCTCAGTGGTGCTGCCACCTGCCTCCCAAGCATAAGGACCAGAGTTTGATCCCTGGTACAAAAAAAAAAAAGAAAAAAGATTAAATAAGAACAGAGAATGGGGAGAAAGGAATATGTGTAAAACAATACAGAAATAATATATCAAAATGTCGGAAGTGTCTCTCATGGAAAAGTAGACCATTTGATACATTTTATTGTTTTCTTCGTAATTTTCTACATTTTCAAAAGAAATGCACCAATAACAAATGTTGGCGGGGCTGTGGGGAGAAAGGAACCCTTCTCCATTGTTGGTGGGTGTGCAGACTGGTGCAACCACTGTGGAAATCAATATGGAGACACCTCAAAGAGCTGGGACTAGAGGTTCCATTTGACCCAGCCATCCCTCTGCTGGGTATCTTTCCAAAAGAATTAAAAGAATCATGCCACAGTGATATAGGCGCACCCATGTTTATAGCGGCACAGTTTGTAATAGCTAAAACTTGGAAACAGCCCATTTGCCCATCAGTTGGAGACTGGATAGAGAAGATGTGGTTTTTCTATAAAATGGAGTTCTACTCAGCCAAAAAGAATGAGAAATTAGAGTCATTCATAGGAAAATGGATACATATTGGGGTTACATGCTTAAATGAAATAAATAAGTCACACATGTGTAAATACCGAATAGTTTCTCTGGTGTGAGAAATTATAATTATAAGTATGATCCTAATGGTATAACTGAATGTGAAATAGGAAGAAAAGGGCTAAAGGTGTAGGGGAAGTGAGAAGGATAGGGGAGGAGAAATAAGGGAAAAGAAAAAAAATATGAGAAAATGAAAAAATGGAAATAAAGTTTTTGTAAATAGAGAAGGTAGGAAGGGGTGAAGGGAGGGCAGGGGTATGGGAAAAAATGAGAACCAAGACCTGTCATGTAAAGATACAAGATCCCAATGATGAATGTAACTGTACTGTATACCTAAAATGTACCAATAAACTCAATGAGGAAAAAAAATGTGAGCATTCACATATATAATGTTCACAGGCAAGGACAGGAAAAATTGTTTTACTAAAGTGTTAAAAAAATGGCCCAGTGGACAAACTATGTTTCCCATAGAGCTATTTAGCAGGCGTACCTATGCTGTGTGTTATACATATAAAACATCATGACAGTATTCTACCCCATCAAATCTATGCGTAGCATTAATTCGTTGGACCATACACAAAGTCCAACTCTGACACATTATTCTAATTTTAAGTACAAATTGTTAAGCACCAGTAAGGGTAAATACAATATGCAGTCAAACATTTATCCCTAATAGACAAAAAATGATAAACCGAGACATACTTGTTATTTTCTGCCTTCAAACTTTTCCAATAAGTACTTATTACATGTGGCATCTCATCGGCACCACTTACCTGGGCATTACCATCAGGTAGGAAGAGGTAGGCACCACTTTTGTCTCTTCTGCTTGTGGTTCCATACCAGGAAAACTGCACTTTTACTTTATGGTGCTTACCATCTTCTTTAGTTATCATTTTCTAAAGATAAAAATATTAAAGCAACACTATGAAATGTTAACCATGTTGCATTTGATCCCATGTAAACATCAACTTAAAAAAAAACAGAATATGTTGAAAAATGTTAATTGAAAACCTTAATTATTTAGCCTCAGAATTTAAAAATCTTTATTATAGTAACAAAAAGTCAGGACACACTTCATCAAGGAACAAAGAGGTACACAAATTAGGAGCTCTAAATATACTGGTCAAACTTTCTGTAGAAAGAGCAAATTTATTTATTTCCATTGTGCATGAGGAAATACTTTGAAAAGTACAATAAAAATAAAAGACAAGTTAGAATAAAATATAAAAATTAAAGTGATATGCAAATATACTTCAAGTTTTTTCTTATCAGATTAAGCAAGCATTTTTTCTATCAATTTGCTTTCTAAGTTTCCACAGACATTCTTGAACATTTACATTTTCCTTACTCCTTTTTGGACCAGTAATAGTCCATGAAGCAGCACCACCACAGACCACACGTGTGGTCCTGCAAAAGGTACACACAGCTGCTCATCCGTTCCTTCTCCCAAGGTATCTGATGCAGCCCTAGTTGAGAAGATTGTGTCCCCATTTACAGAGTTATCCATACATGTAGTAAAAATGATGAATCTTAGAATTACTTAGAGCATACCTCCATAAGCCCAGACTGATCAAACTGAAGTATAACAAAGGAGTTCTCCAGAGTTATAGCTTTGTTGGCATTTATCATATTCTTTATCTTGAAAATTTCACTCTCTTCTGTTTTACCATTATATATAACATAATCAGCCACATGTGAATTGGAACCGTCTGATTCTAAAATCTTATATACTTTCAATCCTAGTGGTGGTATATGTGCTAGAAAAGAAATCTTTAATAAAAGATAAAGAAGATCATTTATTAAAGAAAAGTGTTACTTCCTGAAAGACAAATGATTAATATTTTTAGTTAAAATAACAAACTACCATATTTTTCTTAAAAAGAAAACATAATATTACCACCTCACAGGAAATATGATCAACTCACATTGATAGGATTATCAAGGGCATGAGTGTTTTTATCCTATAAGTGAAACTATACGATCATTCTCGATTATTCTACAGCATTCTTTTTTTAAAATTAGTTCAGATTAATTATACAGAATAGTGGGTTTCAGTCTGTCATGTTCACAATACACGTATACCGTAACTGTTTGATCATCCTCTTCCCCGTCACTCCCTCACTGCCTTTCAATCCCTCTCCTCTTCACTAAGCCTTTTACTTTCAGGCCATCTCTATTTTCAAAAGTTATTTTGTATTTTTTTCTAGATCTTCCCTATGAAAGAAAACATGCAGTATGTGCCTTTCTGAATCAGGCTTATTGTACGTAACACGATGGTCTCCAGTTCCATCTATTTTTCTGCAAATAACACAATTTCATTATTCATTCTGGCTGAATAATATTCCATTGTGTGTGTGTATATATATCTATATCACCCTTCATTCTTTCATCTACTGATGGGGAATCTAGGCTGCTTCCATAGCTTAGCTCTTGGAAATGTGTCATGAGAAGGATGAACATGCAGTTTTCTCTACAGTATACCAGCTTTAATTCTTTCAGGAATCTACCAAGGAGTGCAATAGCTGGGTTAATAGTAGCTATATTTCAGTTTTGTTGATGTAATCTCCATCCTCACCTATATAGTGGCTCTACTAATTTATATTTCCACTACTGCAAGAGTTCCTTGTCCTGTATCCATGCCAGTATGTATTGCGTTTTGTCTTCTTGATGACAGTTACTCTGACTGGGAGTGAGATGAGATAGAATCTCAACATTTCCCTAATGGCTAAAAATACTGCACATTTTTAAATATACTTATTGGCCACTTGAACTATTTCTATTCAGAGAAGTGTCAATAATTCAGTTCATTAGCTCAGTTTGGAGTTGTTTTCTGATTGTAAGCTTTTTGAGTTCTTATATATATTCCAGATATTAATTCCCTGTCAAAAGAGTAGCTGGCACTCAGACAAACAAGTAAAAGCAGCTAATAAACATATGAAAAAATGTTCAATATCACTGGTCATTCAAGAGATGAACAACACTGAGATTTCACCTCACCCCAGAAAGAATGGCTGCTCTCAAGAAATCAATAACAAATGCTGGCAGGGCTGTGGGGAGAAAGTGACCCTTCTCCATTGTTGGTGGGAGTGCAGACTGGTGCAACTACTGTGCAAATCAATATGGAGATACCTCAAAGAACTAGGATTAGAAGACCCATTCGACCTACCTATTCCTCTGCTTGGCATTTTTCCAAAAGAAATAAAAGAATCATTCCCCACTGATATATGCACACCCATGTTTATAGCTGCACAGTTTGTTATAGCTAAAACTTGGAAACAACCCAATGCCCATTAACTGGAGACTGGATAAAGATGATGTGTTTTTTCTATAAAATGGAGTACTACTCAGCTATAAAGAATGAGAAACTAGAGATATTTATAGCTAAATGGATGCACATTAAGGCTATACACTTAAGTGAAATGAATAGGACACATAAGCAAATACCAAATAGTTTCTCCGGTGTGAAAAACTAAAAGTGTAAATAAGGTTCAAATGCTATAATTGAGAGTGTGAAATAGGAAGATATGTGTTATGTGTTTTTTCTATAAAATGGAGTACTACTCAGCTATAAAGAATGAGAAACTAGAGATATTTATAGCTAAATGGATGCACATTAAGGCTATACACTTAAGTGAAATGAATAGGACACATAAGCAAATACCAAATAGTTTCTCCGGTGTGAAAAACTAAAAGTGTAAATAAGGTTCAAATGCTATAATTGAGAGTGTGAAATAGGAAGAAAAGGGCTAAAGGGGAAGTGGGGAGGGGAAGGAAATAAGGGAAAAGAAAAAATGTGAAAAAAGGAAAAAATGAAAACAAAGCCTTTGTAAATAGGGAAGGGTGAAGGGAGTGAAGGGAAGGCAGGGTTATGGGGAAAAATAAGACCCAAGATACATCACATAAATAAAGGCACAAGATCCCAATGATAAATGTAACTGTATTTTTTGCTTTAAATGTACCCATAAACTTAATGGAGGAATAAAAAAGAGTAGCTGGCAAAGATTTTCACCCATTCTACAGTGTTCCTAGCAGATGCCTAAAGGAGGAAATTCTCTATAAAGGTTACAGCTTATTGTAAACAATGATTGTTTCTAGGTATTACAAATCATTTCGTAGTATGATATTTCAGCACATTAAGATGGTGAATGCGATTACGTAAATATTAAACACATTAGTTCAGTCTGTACCAGCCACTGCCCACTTGAGGGATGGCAGGCATCGAACAGGGAATGGAACATGGACATGTATAACACATGACCCTCTTTCCAGGAGCTGTTCCACTTTTTTAAATCAGTTATTTCCTATAAAATCTGACTAAATCAGTGTAACATTTTCCTGTCTACAAGATTATGAATTATAATAGCAGCCACCAATGGCTTTTGACAAGCAGAAATAGTTCCTACTCCATGAGGTCTTCAGAAGTACAGTTTAAATTGCACTTCAGACTATAAATGTTTAACTTTTCCAGTGATACAGGTTAATATTGCTTAATTTAAAAAAAACACATAAAAATCTATTCCTTGAACCTAGATTTACCGCAATTACATCTCAAAAAAAGCACCTTAATTATTTTAGGAAGTCTCTCTTCCATGATGTGTTATGTCACCCTTGCAATGAAAAGTTGAAACTATTCCAAATCAAAAAGGATGATATTTATCTTGACTACAGAGTGTGCAATTGTCATTAAATACTTAGACCAAGATATTCAAAATTTCTTGAGTAATAGTTACTTCATTACTTCAGAATCTAGTTAACAATGTACATACTTAAAAAGATATGCAACATTCACGCTATACAATACCATGTAACCTACTAATAATATGAAGTATACCTACTAACAACGATGTTTACATTTTAAGAGAAACACAACCTCTAGTGTCACTCACCTGGCCTATTAAATGGCCTCATATTTATAATTTTAACCACATAACATATACCAGTGGTGAATAATCTATGGCTGGGTGCCACGGTGGGCAGTTTGGATATCACTAAAATCTCTAAAGGTTCGCCATCATTGATATGTGCCCAAATGACTGCTCAATGGACTTATCATGGGACTCTTATACAATTATAAGCTATATACTGGCTATATATATTATTGTTAAAGAATATTTCTTTATGTTCTAATCCACAACATACCTCATAGGCTTGTCCTGAAACAGTGACTGCATCATTCCAAACTGCGCTGACTTGGACCTCCACCGGTCTCCCAGAATCAGAAAGCACTTGCACCTTGGGGGAACTCACACAGATTGAAACCACCGAGTTCCGGTCTTGTTCTAAAGGATTATAGACCACGAGGTACCTGCAAAAACAGCTGTGTCACTACTGGAATCTCAAAAAAATTTTTTTTACACACTCTAAAACTTCAGTTTATAGTCACTCACAGCTAATACACAGAGAAGAGCTAAAAAGAATATTCTGGTAGAACTTTAAAGAACTGGCAATTTCACTGAAACAAACAGCACACAAAACAAAGAGGATGAAATAATGATTCAAAAGCACTTAGTAAAAAATAAAATGAGCCAGGTGTGGTGGCACATGCCTATAATCCCAACACCATGGGAAGCTGAGGCAGGAGGATCACAAGTTCCACTGCAGGCAACTTAGCAAATTAGTGAGAACCTGTCTCACAGGCCAAGCCATTAAACCGTGAGGATACGGTAGTCATGTTAGTGAGAAAATCAAGGATGCTGGATGCTTCAACGGATAATTATTTGAACATCAGATTTAAGATAGAAGCACAGAAAAAATTTTAAGTGTTCAAATATTTCTTACAAATAACAGTTATGTTTAAGACCACAGATAAAAAATAAAAGTGTTAGGCATGCTGCTGCTCAGGGCAAAGGAACTGAGTTCAAGCCCCAGTACTTGAAAAAAAAGAAAGTTTACAAATGGAAGACATTCATAACCTTCTAATACAGCTTTTCCATATCCCAGAAGATGACTTATGTAAATATGATTTTAGCCATCTATAGAAAAGAATCAGCAAAGTACAATAAATGCCACAATCTCTGCCTAATTTTGCTGAATAAAAAATTCAGTCTGTGTTTGCAATTTAGCCGCATTTAATTCCAATTAAAAATAAGTCATTCATTTTAGACCACTAAAACACAGCAAATTATACTGGTACATTGGCAGAATCTCATTATTCATATGCGTATTTTATACATGGTGGTTTTTTTTCTTTCTCCAGAAAGTTGTTTCTGGAAAAAAGATCACTTGAAATAAATCCACTACCCATGAGGGCCTAATTATATAAAGTGTAGGTAAAAAACCAATTTGATAGGGACTTGAGTAGAAAAAGGAATTAAAATCATTAAAATAAATTCAGACAATATTTATGAGTATTTATTAGTATGAATAAAAAATGAACTAAGATTTTTGGCAGAATTTTTCCAATATTTTATATTAATACATTATGACACCCTTCATGAAAAATTTAATTTTTACAGAATGGTCTTAAACATAACTGTTATTTGAAGACCTAAAATTTTTTCTATGCTTCCATCTTAAATCTGATGTTCAAATAATTCTCTGTTGAAGCACCCGACATCCTTGATTTTCCCACTTACATGACTACCATATCCTCACCGTTTCATGGTTTGGCCTGTGAGAAGAAATGTTCTAAACAATTATGTGATAGATCACATGGAATCTGCATCTTGGCATGATTTATTATTTTATTTCATAATCAATTTGCATCATACAATCTCCAAATAAATCACATGCTTCGAAGAGGATGTTTCACTAACAGCCTTACTCACTGATTCACTGGGACATATTTTCATGAACCGAAATATTTTGTTTTCCTAGACAAATCTGTAACTTCAGAAGCAGACTAGCTTTGACTAGTTAATAATAACTGCTTCTCCCTCTAATATACACAAACAGAAGCAAGCTAACATCTGTTAAATAAATCAAAGCTCAGTATGTTTTCCTACAACTTGTTGCTTTCAATTTCATTACAATCCATTATGAAATAAAATTAGTACCTACAGTAACCAAAGTAAAGCAAAAGACAAAGTAAAGCAATGAATAACAAAGGTTAAAAAAAGAACAATACCTATGAAATATTTTCCTTATAAAATGCTTATCAGAAGAAATATTTTGGTTTAAACAATATTGTGCCAATGTGGTGGCACACACCTGTAACCCCAGCACTCAGGAGGCTGAGGCAGGAGAATTGCCATGAATTTGAGGCCAGCATGGACTACCTAGTGAGTTCAAGGTCAGCCTGAACTACATAGCAAAACCCTGTCTCAAAAACAAACAAGATTCTGGAGTATCAAAGGAGACAATACAATCACAAGAATGTCCTAATCCTATTAGGTCTATCCACCTATGAATCGGGACAAAACCTAACTTGCATCATTCACATTCACTGAGATTCAATATGCACAAAAAAGAACAGATGATGGAAGCCACCTATTAAATACAAAAGTATTTAGGAAGAGCATTGAAACCGCCTACCACAAGCTGAAATTACTATTTATCCACAGAAGCAACTGACAAGCAGAGTGAGAGCAGTGTCCCCTGGAGAGCTGTGCTCATGCGATGGACTCACCAACCTGTCTGCACCTTCCTCTCACCCCGCCAGAGCTCACACTGCATCTGACTGACCTCCCACCCAAAACCACCAGGGGCACCACAACCGTCAGAGAATTCCATCAGTTTACCCCTGGGAGCACACCATGTATCTACACGGCAGAAGAAAAACAGGCCCCAGCCGTTCATTCTCTGCACCAAAGAGGTTTACACCAGAAACCCCCAAAGGAGTGATTTACAAACCTAGTTAGTATGCGAAGAACTCTGGACAACGATGGCCTGAGGTCAGGTCAGTTTCCTAGGTCTACTCGGGGACCTGGAGTGAACAGAGCTAGACCACCTGTGGGAGCAGGCTTTGAAGGAGCCACTACACACTGCCAGTCACAAGGCTGTGGTAACATGTAGTGAGTGCACCCAAGCAATAAAGTAGGTAATAAGTATCCAGAATACTAATTCTTTCCCATAGGAAACTTAAAACATGATTCAGGCTTCAAGCAAATAATAGTTTTAAGCATACATTTGGTTTTGTACCATATTAAATCATTTTATACTAAGCTGTGAACTAGGTTCTATTTTGTTTCTTTTTAGTAGCTAATTAGTATTTGATTTGACCATAATGATGTTTCTACTGTACTAAATGATGATGTAATTATCATGCCAAGAATCTATTCAAAAACTAAATGTGTAGAATATATGAGTTTAATGCCGCACTAAGAAAATAATTTTTAACATAATTAGAGATTCACAGCATGTTCAAGTCTATCACAGTACAAATCCATCTGACACAGAAACTCTGATCTGTGTACATTTTAGATAGAGTACAGAGAAACAATCATAAATTATATTTCCCTTGCAAGTAAGTGTACTATCACAAATTAACTGAATTTCATTGTCATTACTCTGTTTAATAGTCAAACACCTGTTACGCTGTCAGTATTCCCAAACACGAGTTTTTTTAAGACTTTCAGTTGTGAATGAAACCAACAAGTATTAATGTTATATGACACCCCTTACCTACTGAAAATTAACAATACCCGATCTACATTAACAAAAGAAAAGAGTACCACTAATATCCTGAAAATGAGGAGAGCTAATTTCTCCATTACTCAGGAAACAATTGTTTAGGAAGATCAGAGGTTTGCTGCTGTTACTGTAGTTTTCCTTCAATTTCCTCTACATCAGCATTAGCATATTGGCTATTATCAGTCACCAAATCATGTCCAGTCTCCTAGTTTTCATCACTGACCCTGGACCTCGATACCTTCATGTTAAGGATAATTGTTTCAATTTTCTCTGCGTAAGAACTTTGATCTATGAATAAAGTACTCATAAAGTTACCTGCCAACTGAATTAGAAGTCAAAAGATGACATACTGCACTTCAGTGGGGACAGGAACAGAGGGAAATTGAGACATCAGTATATCATGTCAAACTGGCAATTACTTTATTGTAAAACTGGAATTCCACTGTAAGTGTGGTTCTGTCCTTAAAGATTCTACAGAGAATGTATATATTTAGAATTCTTTCACTCCTTTTGCAGAAGTAATCCCTGAGTTTTCTCTTTGAGGCAGGGCTAATCAGTGCCCACTAGAAGGTGAACGATACATTTATACCACATTAGTGTCCTTCCTTCCTGGAAGGACTGGATGAAGAACAGGGTGGAGGGAATATGCTACTTGATCAGTGGGACCCTGAAATTATCACTCAGAGTGCTTCCGGTATGTCTGACCAGCCCTCAGGACTCTATCAGCAACCTATGAGGCACAGCTTTTCATCCCTCCCATCAGTCAACTGACCTTGACTAAAAAGCACTACAACAGTGCTCAGAACTCAGTCGTAACTCTGGAGTTATCTTCTTAACCACAGCACACACAATCAAGTATATAAGTCTTTTTGGCACCCAGGGTTTCCTGTGGAGATTCCCTGGTTCCATATTCATCTGTGAAGAACGCGCGTCTCAGCTATGCAAAAGATTCCCACAGAGCCTCTCTCCTCAGGAAGCTTGGATGAACCAAAGCCTATTTACAGTGCAAATACATTACATTTGTGAAAGAAAATTTACAAATGGGAATAATGGAATAGAAAAAAAAATCTTGCTATACATACAAGAGTTTGTCTTATGACCTCACAGTATTCGGTAAGCAAAGACAGTAACTGAGGAAAACATTTTAATAATACTAGCTATTTCCATAACTGCATAAGGAAAATAAAAGTGAAAAACATTGTCACATCCTCCATAAGTGCATTTAAAACCAATTAAGCAGGCAGGTGAAGATTATATGGAAAATAATTATAACTTCATGTGCCTACCACAGTTCCTGGTGAAGAATAATGTTCAATAAATAGACAATGAATAAATAATGCAGAAAAATCCCACTGGGAGAATTTACCATTTACAAATTATATCTACTAGCATGGGGTCTTAACTGTTTTGTTAGAGACTTTTATTTTTATTATTTTGATTGCTCAAAGAAGCAGAATAGCTAATTATTCCCTCTGTAAATAGGAAATGACAGACCCAAGGTCATAAAGTTAAGACCAAAGCAGACCAGAACTTTGATACCAAATCAGTAGCAACATATTAAAAATTCATTACAATAAAAAATATATGCATCTTCTCTAAACTTACTAGTGAAACAATCTAAAAAAGAGTTCAGTATTCTGAATACAGAAATACATGAGTTTATGTTGAAAGGCACGAGATTTCTTGCAGTTTCTCACACCAGAGAAACTATTCAGTATTTACATGTGTCTCCTA